ATTTGAAAATAAACTTCTATAATGTATTTAATTATTAATTATTCAATGTTTGTAATTATTAAAAGTAATACTTAAAATATGAAAAATAAAGCAGTCATTATGTACCTCATGTTTCCCTTTTTATTTCACCGGCATGACATTTTATAAAATATATAAATTGTAAATAGGTTATTACTTCATTTAGTATAATTGCCGACATAAGTCGTGAGCACACTTTTTATTGGTCGATACAACGTTGACCACGCTGACGCTCAATGTGATTGGTTCATCAGTCGATTCTCGTCGTCTATTGGGTGCGAACGTATCATTCGGCTTCTGTGCACTCGAGAGCAATTTTAGTGACAACTTTTTTAATTAGTTTATTTTCGTTAATTGTTTTTGTTACCTCTTTGTTAATTGTTGTTTGTGTATTCCTTGTTATTAATTGTATTTTGTTATTTCTTGTTTTTAATTATTTTTGTTGTTATAATTTGAATGTTCACATTTTGGTCTAAATATACAGAGAAGGAAGAATTGGGTGTTAAATAGACAATCCCGACAAATGGTTTATTCAGTGTTTAGTTACATGAAAAAATTAGGTACTGCGAAAAACATCATAGACGTATATAAACAGACTGCTGAGGCGACTAATGCTGCACCCTCCTTTCTGCCAAGGAGGGTCGCGTTCGTATACGGCTTAGAGATCTCTAGTCAGATCGTTAAGCCAATTCCTAAAAGGTTGGGTTTAGTGGGTAAAAGTCACCACATAACCACGCAGCCGGCTGCGTGGTATGCTATGAGCATTCCCAACCTCCCTCCCCCGCTTTCTGGAGGGTTGCCCATATTTGCTTCGGGCGCAAAAAAAAGCGACTAATGTCTCAGTAGCTACTGTACGGCGCACTGCAACACCAGATTTTATGGAAGGCATATCACCTCTTCCTTCTTCTTAATAAAATATTCAATTCTAACCACCAGGTATACATTAAATACTTTATAGTAGATAATAAAATAACGGACACGAATATCTGCAACATTACTGTATCAAAGTAAAAGTTGATGTGTTCAAGTAAACATTTTCGTCGAAAAGTTTAAATCGGCGAAAATATTCAATTACGAGTGAAATTATAAAGGTACCCAATAATTTTGCCCGACAGTGTACCTACCTCCCACCACAGTTTATCTGTGCTCATGACTCTAACTCTAACTATATATACCTATTTTTATTTGAATAAAATTATGTTGAAAAAGAAATTCCGAAGAAACTGTCCATGCCAATACATATTTTATTCTAAATGTCCAAAATACAGTTTTCCGATCTGATACTTGGCGAAAATTGTTTGAGTTGATCCGGTAGGCTCACCTCTTCAGAGATTATTGGTATTTTGTCATTGAGCTATTTATTATGTACTACGTAATAGAGACGATACTGCATTCAGCTACTCTGTTCCACTCAACTGCAGTGCATACACCGCACTTTAATCAGTCACTCGCTAGGCGCTTGTTGAGTTGTCACGTGTTGTGTTGAATTAAAAAAATCTCTTGATAAAAATATGCCGTCGTGTGAACTTAGATATTGCACAAACAATTAAAGATATGTCAGTAAAAACCAAGGAATTACTTTTCATCAGTTAATAAGATACTTAATTAATAAAAAAAGTATTATAGTTATAGTTATAGATTAATAATAAAACAAATTATTCCTATAAGACGCCATCTCGTGTCACGGAATATAGATTATGAAATTAATATGTTCAGATGGGACATTTCTGTGGGTACTGAAGTATAGGACGAATAATTATTATACACATTTTTTGTTGTAGAAACTTATATAAGTTATTATAATTAGGCTAAATTTTTCATGTTTAAATCTGCTTATTATTCTATTATTTTATTTTTATTTTTCCACTTCAAAGTCAAAGTGGAATAAATTCGTCCATTAAAAACCCTCGTGCCCAGCATTTATGAACGACTCTTATTCTAATTTAAATAAATATATTTGTAATTTAAATGTTATGTTAATAAGTTTTATTAAACATACATTTAGTATGTTTTTTATACTTAACATAGATACCTTTTAAAATATTCAGATAAAAATATCATTAAAATGTAATTGAGATATAATATTATATTAAATAAGCAAATATAATATACAAAATAAGCGACAAAATTTAAATATTTTTCTCGATATAATTTACCTATTTAACAGTACAATATATTATTACCTACTGATCATTCTACCTATGTTTTTATGATAAAAAAAACCAACCGCGCGAACACAGAGTAGCGCACATTTTTTGTTTGAGATAACTGTTCTAGTACGTGAGTAGGTACATATTACTTCAATGTATTTTGTACATTTTGAATTAAAATCCAACAAAACACAGGTGCTGCTTATTCTCGCGGACATGTTATATGAATATTTTTTAATTATTTTAGAATATCATGTTAAAAATTCAGTTAATTTTTGAAGTTATTCAGTTTCGTGCATTTACTAGTTTTTTTTAATCTTTTTACCACTTTCTTAACAATCATTTTTTGATAGTCGTTAGTAAAATGTACATCACTAGCTAACGCACACAATGACAAATCAAAATCGATCACGTGTTTTCAAGCTGTCAGGTCGTATTCTAAGTCTATATAATGATAGATATAATAATATAATGGGTTTAACGCACTGTCTAGACATGGAACAAAGTTAAATCAATTAAAAAAAGTGATTAACAAAGCAAAGCAAAAATTATCGATTAGCTATCGAGAAAAATTAAAACCGGAGCATATAAATATTTCCTTATAAATAAATTACAATGCATGTAAATTTTAGTTACAGTATAATACAAATTTTGACATTATAGTTATACATTGTACTATAAATTAATTTGAAATAATTTAAATAGTAAATTTCTTTATAAACTATAATGCATGAGTTTGATACAAATTATGACATAATAGTTACATAATAGCTGTTCCCGCGACTTCGCCCGCCTGATATTTATTACGATTGGATTGAGTTTTAAGTTTTTACGCGGAATCGAAATTCTTATTCTAAAATAAATGTAACCTTCTTTACTCTTTATAACATCAGCTATCTGCCATGGCAGCTATAAGCCGGTACAAACAGACAGATAAACGTTTTTAATAATTGATTCTGTCTTTATAAATACCGTATATACTCTCATTTGCGTTAAGTAAAAGGCTGTTATTTTAATATTACAAACAGACTTCAATTTATAGTTTATACTACTACTACTATTATTACTACTACTATTGATTTGAAAATAAAAATCATCTTCTATTTCATGTTGATTGCAACACTCATATTGACATATAAACAAATAAAATGGTTGTCAGCGTCTGTAATTTTCAGTACGTTGACTACCAGCTTTTCTAGGAACGAGTGCTAGTGCCTTTCACTATATGTGTATTAGTGTTGCCAAGTCCAATGGGCCAAATATCGCGACGGAAACTAAAAATAATCGAGAATTTGTTTCAGGGTTCCCTCTATGCTAGTATATACTATGTATAAGCATAATTAAAAATTATATCGACTCGTAGATAGAGGATCGACCGTAGAGGGAGGTTATCCTCTGTCTACGGGATCGAATATATATTTATAGTTGTTGTAGTTATAGCAATTCACCAAATAAATCAGACAAAGATCTTATACCATACAGCTTAGTCTCATATGAATTTTGTTTAAAATGGAATATTTTTAATTCGTGACTTCCTGCAGTAATACGACTAAATAAAAATTGTTCAGAATTTCAAACTCTATATCTAATCATATTTTAATTTATAGACGCAAGAAAAAAATGTCATCAAAAATTTGTTTGTGAGTTCGCCATTATCCTTTTTAAGCCTTTATATATCATTTTTCCTGCTCTTAGATAATATCTTTAATACAAGCAGTTTAGCATCTGAATTAAAATCTGTTTGGTCAGCTATATATTGACATAATATAAAACAAATTAAACTTACATGGGGCATACTATCAGCAAAAGGGTTAGTGAAACTACTATCTATACGAAAGTGATATTTATTTAAAAGAACAATATTCGTTTTATGCTATATAACCTCTGTTCCTCTGCAAAATATACTTCTGAACCTAGTTATAGAACTAAAGCTACGCCCTGCAGTGGGTCTCACGAGTAATTATTATTAGGAGTACACTTTGAAATTAAAACAATTGACGTAAGTACACTCCACCGTCCAATACTTAGAAGTAAGCTACCGTGAACATATTGACAAATTAAAACCTAATTAAACAATTTTAATCGTAAGTAACATTGCTATGAAAACCCGAAGAGATTTCTAAGTGACAATGTAAACAAAAGAAAATTATATAATTCAAAATAGTATTCATCATTCTTAATTCAATGTTATTTTTAACTTAAGATTTACAATTATTGCCTACAAATAAAAAAATATGTGTATATAAGAAAAAATATGTAGGTATATCATTTATACTCTATGAAAGATGCATATATGAATGACGTCAAACAAAACGAAATTATATAAACTTAAATGAATACAAAAAATTGCACACGAACCATGCAAGCAAGTCTGTCGTGAAGCGTATATTATTCATTAAAAAATAGGTACATTACTAACCGTCACTCGACGCACTAATTAACCATAAGAACAAATAGAAATATTATTATTTAAATACGAACAAAAAGAACTGTAATAATTGACACGAAGTAAAATCATTTCAGTCTTATAATTAATTATGGGAAGATAACACTCTTATCAGAACACATTCTAGATTATTTTGTACGCAATTGATTGTTTCACTATCATTGTAACACTAATAACTCGCTGTAGTGCACTGTGGGCGTGAACAGTCTACAATAAGTCCATAGATCGCTAAGTGGCTCCTGTTACTCATCCTTATTTCCATGTCTGTGGTTTTTCATGACCCAGACGAGGCCTAGTGGCCTTCCACACACGAGGGCTTACGCCCCGGTAATGGTGATATTGTTAAAGGCTCAAACGCCCCATCATGTGGGACGCGTCTGTTGTGCCTAAAGTTGTGCCTCATTGGGATTCTGCCACAAATTCGACGGTAAAGTGTCATAATGTGATGGCACCGTCACTAAGGCTTCTGCGGTACTTCTGTTTATTGAGCAGTTCTGAGGAAAAAACATTGAAATTATTGGGTTACATCTTTTTAAATACTTCAGTGTGTTTAATTTACTTTTTTTATATAGGATAGGGTGACAAAGGAGCACACAGTCCACCTGATGCTAAGTGGTTGCTATTGCCCATAGACATCTACATCTATCCTCGATTACGAATCAAAATGCAGATGCGTTGTCACCCGTGAGGACTAAGATGGAATGCCTCGTTTCCAGTAAAAAGGGTCTCCGGTTCTCTACACTCACCATACGAAACACAGCAGCATTAAGCTACTATTTTACGCTGGTATTCTGTGAGAGCGTGGTCCTTCCCCGGTCGAGCCGACCCCTTCGTGCTACAATTATACTACTAATATATATGCAGCATGGCTCTACCACGTAAAAAACTACTATTTCTCAATCTACGCTTTTACAGATTTACAATATTTAATTACGTTATAATTATTAGCAGTGTTTTAATAGCACATCAAAAGACCACGGCTGAAGATAGGGCCCCCCATAGATTGCCTCATGGGGTACGCTTGTACTTCGGATTGGCAACCGCAGTTCTTTTAAATTATTTTAGACTGGTATCAGCAAGATGTAGCTGCCTATCTCCTGTTCCAATTTTCCGCTGTCAATGTGCGAGCAGCTATGCAGCTCTAGAGAAAGAGACCAGTATCACTGCGACTTTCATTGTTAAGCCCTTAGTCTTCAATGAATAGAAGTTGCTTAGCTGTGAGCAATTTCACTTCTTCTGGGCCGAGTATGTAGTTTCCCAGAAGAGTGTTACATTTGTGCATTAAAGGTCCGCAATCAGTTAGAATGTGCAGAGGCTTCTTCCGTTTGGGAACAGAATCGGCACATCCTTGAGTTGTATCCTTGCTTAGTGACCTCTGTCACCTCTTACGACATCCACGAGATAAAATGGGTAGTCGATATTGTTAAATATACTCTTAAGCGTTAGTTCCCAAACACTAAAATCTATGACAAGATATATACGTGATACATTATAAGCTGTACAAATTAATCTGTTACCTTGGGTTGTTTCCGGTGTGTGTCAACACATTCGATGGGCAATTTTATCATCTCCACCTTGTACTTATAACCATACGATGTGAGCTTTACAATGGTATGCAGAGGCACATTCATGTATGGCAGTTCGTCTGTAACGCCAAAAAGAAATATTTAGTACAGTTATCTTATTTTTAAAACATAAAACGCCGCATATTATGAATCAAATTATTAGTTGCCAGACAGGGTATTGTTGCGCGCCTAAGTTGATGTCTGGTATCTGGCACTAGCACCAACTAGTATGTATTACTGAACTTTCCACCATTAGCGCCATCTAGTATCGAATAGAAGAACTAAGCTTTCTTGAAAGCTCCACACTCGAACTCTGCACCTGGTTGGTCGGGGGCCGGTATTTGCTGAAATATTCTAGATGTTTCGGTCGAAACGGCCTATAAAAAGCTCTTGAAAGCCGCAATCGGGGCAGTACTGAATTGGTGATACGAGCGAAGCTTTCGGAGTGAAATAAAGTGCACTAAAGTGTTAGTGTGAATAATAATTAGTGTGATTTAAGTTTTAATTGGTGTTCAGTAATTAAAGTATCAATTTTGGTAATTCAATCGGCAGTTTTTATTGTCACGAACCCTAAGATCGTAACAGTATGTTAAGCGAAGGGACGTGTACGCGAGCAATCTGTTCGATTCTCAGTATTGGCAGCATTGATTGCAGTTTTAAGTCCTGATCATTAACTTGTCATAGAGGCGTGGTAGCGGATAAGCTAAGCGCTAGTTGTAAATTTCACAGTACGCGAGCAACCCGGGTTCGATCTCCGCCGCCACGACTTAAGATGTTAATTGCAATTTGAAGTGCTGATTTAACACGTGCTCTACGGTAAAGGAAAACATCTTGAGAATCTTGAGGATCATGTCTGAGTAACCAAAAAAATATTACCAAGTCATGTAAAGTCCGTCAACACGCATTGGGGCAACGCGGTGGACATATCCTTACCCCAAGATCCTCTCGGAAATTGAGGGGAGGCCTGTGTTGTATACATGGTGTAACTTTATTTTTGTTACTTGCATATCGGTAAATGGAAACCTCGAGCCATATTTCGACGACGTAAAGCTTTTGTCACGCTGCATTAAAACGACGTGTGGCGCACTGTTCTCTACTACAGAAATAAATATTACCTCGTCCGTGACACTACATTCTATCGTACACTCGATATTATCGAATGAGCATGTATTGTATCGATAACATTGTTTGTGCGTATACATGTGACATAATAATAATTATCTTTGGTGGGCAGTTAATAACTATCGTTTATTCAGATGTTGTAACATAATCATGGGTAGACTTAAAGAAATATATATTTTAAGGGGTAAGAAGAAGGCTTACTGACTTCCTGTCTCGTTGGTCTAGTGATCGTAGAAGCAATTGCTGATCTTGGGGTCCCAGGTCGAATCCAGGGTCGCGCTAAAATCAATTATTGGGTTCTTCTGTCAAGAAATTTTTAGTAGCCACCCGGAGTCAGAAAGTCGGCGGTGTTTCACCCCCGTGCCTCGGAAAACACGTAAAGCCGTTGGTGTGTGAGTGAATGAAGAGTGCACCTATGTTTGCGCATATACTCATGCACTCTAATCCTGTAGAACATGTGAAGTCTGCCAACACGCATTAGCGATTGTTGTGTTTTTTTTTAATTTTAATAGGCTAAAAGCATCTTATGAATAGAGTCTTATGAAGACGTATATTATATGCGTTTCTCACTGATAGAATCTTTAAAACATTTCGTAGGTAATGTATATTTGTACATACATACATTCGACGCTTATCAACATACATATTCGTTTGTTCCTTACAGCAGTGAAACCTTCTGGCAAGCATTTGGTAGTACCCTATTCGGTATATACTGATGTAATTTTGATATCGAAAAGGAATTGATACCAGATACCCCGTCAAAGTGAAAGAAACTGGCGATCAAAATCTTCCACGTGCTTTATTTTGGTAGACATGGGTTCATTTTGAAACAGCGAAACTGCGCAGATGGATAGTTTCCGATGGGACTTGCCGCCGTGACTGAAATTGACTCTAGGGCATTAAAAATATTTAAAAAAATAAGTAAACATACGCACCAAGTTTAGCATCGAGGAAATATCCGAGCATGCAACGTAGCACCGCTTGATGACCGACCACGACTACATTGTGCTCGTCCTCCAACGCGGATAGAACTGGACGAAGGCGCGTCATGATGTCGATGTACGACTCGCCCCATGGGTACCGGTAGCGCAGTTTATCCTGGTCGCGCCACGCAAACTCCTGAGGGAAGCGCTCTTGCATCTCCTCATATGTTAGACCTTCACAGATACCCTGGCAACAAAAGATTGGTATTTTGTATGTTTATAAAGTATTTCGAGATTATTGTGTAAAGAAGGCTATAACAAATCGGCGTATCTTTTTTGTCTCTTTGAGATTTATTAGGATATGTAATAAATATATAAAAAAATACATTGTATAGACGTTATACGACAGGCCGTAGGACAAAAATGTAGAGAATTAATTTACATTTTTAACTTAACTGAATGAAATATAAACTTAAGTCGCAACGGGGAGTCTTCAAAATAAAAACAAGTAAAATTATTCTGAATATCCAACAGAGCTACCAAAATGAGAGCAATCCTATAAAAGTGGAACATAATTGTCACATCACTACTAAAAGTAAAAAACAATTTATGGGTCATCCTATTTTTTTTTTTTTTTGTAATATAGGTTTGTTATAATTAAACATTTTAAAGCTTAGCCGTTTAAATAATACTTGTAATATGTAAGATTGAGTGAAAGTCGGAAACTACGCACTCACGCAATAAAATAAAAAAAATATAATTCAACGACCTGCTTATTTAAAAAATGTTTCATCAAAAGATACTGTTGTGACACTGTAACATTTATCGATAATAGAGCTGTAGCGTAGTCTTCCGATTAAAGTTCATTCGGTAATTTTCCTGAGTATGACCGTCAATAAAGTAAAACGCAGTTGAACGTGGTTGCCAAGATATGTTAAATATGAAACATTCTTAGAAAATAATATATTTTCTTACTTACAGATTTATACCTACATCTGTATACAAAATAGTGTACTAATATATTACTGTCCATTTGTAAATAATGATTTCTTAAACACACACATAAAATGGAACTATAGTTTGTAACGGATTTTATCGACTTATTTTTATATTTCCTACGCTTCGCAATCACAATCCGTAAAAGATTTTCATTCAATTCCTATTAAAATACTTCACATAATTGTACGTTAGTTAACTTTTTACGTTTCGCATATCTCGAAGTGAAATTAGGATTTCGTTTTAAGCCAATCTCATTCGACGCTTATTTACATACTGTTCGTTATGTAACATTCCGTTTTCATTAAAATTGATTTTATACGTGTTTTTAATTTAATCAAAATTACTACTAATCGTCAAATAGAGGTCAGATCCAATCGTACCAACGCAGATTTTAATTATGGAGTGTAAAGGTAAGGAGAACAATCTCTCATAAGAGAATAGTTGAAAAAGTGTCCATCTGTAAGCAATAAATAACAGTTCAAAAACTCTTCACAACGGCGCTGAAGCTACAGCTACATGAAATGATGATGAAATGATCATTAGCAGTTGTCGACGGTGTGAAGTGTGCTGCTAAACTGCTCAGTAGCTCTAAAATCTAAAATAATTTTATTTAGTAAATATATCCTCGAAAAAGTCGTCTATCCCACTAATATTTTTCGGCGCGTTCCTTAAATTTACCCCGTAGCTACAGTGGCGCCACCCTTATTTAAAGGTTTCTACGGACACTTTTAATACACAGTCTGTACTCCTTATCTCTACACTGCATAGATTTTAATGTTACTATAACCACAGAGTACTTTAACAATATAGTTCACTCGGATATAAGCTCCTGTGGAGAACTTCTATTAGTAATCTAATGTCTGAGGTATATTACGTACCACCAAACTTAGAACTCCAGTAGTATTTAAAGATGCCAGTTTATTTTATTTTTTAATTTGAAATGACAAAAGAACTTGCAGTACACCTGTTGGTAAGTGGTTACTGCAGTCAATACACATCTGCGGCCAACTTCAAACAGAAAAGGCTATTGATGCTCTAACCATTTAGACCGGAACACCTACGAAGACGGACTCGAAGGCAGGCATAAAAGGAGTCCGACTAGTTAGGAACCATAATGCCAAGCAGGAATCTTATTTAGTTGTATATGGTATAAAGAAATAAATTTCCAATAAATTGTAAAGTCTAGAATTATTGGGAAATGTTACAGCTATAGCTGAGATCAGAAAGCAACATTAATTGTTTAAATTTTATGTCATCATCATCATTATAGCCCTTCACAAGTCCACCGCTGAACACTGGCCTCCCACTGCCACAAAGCACGGTCCTGACTCACCTGCATCCATCGATATCCTGCATGTCTTACCAGGTCGTCACTCCATCTAATTAGAAGTCGCCCTACATCACGCCTACCGGTACGAGGCGTTCACTCGAGAACCTGTTTTCCCCATCGGTTGTCGGTTCTTCGAGCTATATGGCCGGCCTATGCCACTTCTTCTTACTATTCTGTTGGGCTATGTCGGTCACTCAGGTTCTACTGCGTATATCCTCATTTCTAAGTTTATCACGCAGAGAAACCCCGAGCATAGCCCTCTCAGTTAACTCGCTGAGCTACTTTGAGCGTCCTCGTACGGCTAGCAGTGAAGGACCAGGTCTTAGATCCATAAGTCATCACTGGCAACACGGACTGGTTGTTTTTAATTTATAGTTTTGTTGTATTTTATGTATGTTTATCTAAATAATTATTAATCAAATCGTCAATCTTACACGTAAAATTAAAAATTATAAATAATTTATTGATAAATCTAGATGCCAGCGTAAGATTATCGTGCACGTATTTAATTTAGTTTTTGTGACGCTCTTACATGCTTTGAAGGTAGAAGATGTATCATTTGAACAACAATCCGCTGTATTCGGTGTGTTGCGTCGACGTAGATGTTCCAACGTTTTATTATTCAATAGCCACCGTTTATTCAGACTTATAATGCAAATATTCAACATATGCATATGATAATTCTCTGGGTATGCGACTATTTGTGTGAAATAATAATATAACTATTCCTTAGTTGATTTTTTATAGAATAAAGGTTACAAACGAGCACACAGACCACCTGTGGCCCATAGATGTCTATATTTATCCTCAATTAATCCTTCAAGCACCATAAAAATCCCATGCGCTCGGCAAATCCCGAGCGGTCAGATGCGACTGCACCCACCCACAGCACTTAAAACCATTACAACTTATAATGATTTCTTATATTTACGCGAACATTGCACATGATTAAAACTACTTTTACGGATTTTATCGCGTTTATTTTTACTTTTTATTTTTATTTTATTTTTATTTTATTGTGGAAGGAAGAGTTTTACAAGCAAGTAGATGGTGTGGCGATGGGCTCACCTTTATCTCCCATTGTCGCCGATATATTCATGGAAGACTTTGAGGAGAAAGCCCTCCTTACTGCACCTGTTACACCAAGGATCTACAAGCGGTACGTAGACGATACTTTCACAATTTTACCATCAGACAAAGTAACTGCATTTTTAGAACATCTTAATTCCATAAACGCTAAAATTCAATTTACTATGGAGTTAGAGGCAAATAATTCCTTACCTTTCCTAGATGTGTTAGTCATCCGAAATCCTAATAACACCATTGGTCACACTGTGTATAGGAAAAAGACCCATACAAACCGATATTTAAACGGTGAATCTCACCACCATCCTTCACAGTTAGCTACCGTGGGCAAATCTTTGTTACAGAGAGCACGAGGGATCTGTGACAGCAAACACCTGGTCGCCGAGCTTCAGCACGTCAAGCAAGTTCTGCACGACAACAAGCTTCGGGTCCCGCGCCTACGTCACAGTGGCCGAGTGAAGCCGGCCACAGTCGAGCGTGTGCCTGCTGTACTACCATATGTCAGAGGTGTCACAGACAAGATTGGCTATATCTTGAAGCGAGCTTCTATTAGAACATTCTACAAGCCGCCGAAGAAGATTAGTCAGTTCCTACCATCCGTCAAGTGTCATATTCCTCTACAAGATGCAGGAGTGTACAAGCTTGATTGTGAATGTGGTCTCTCTTATATAGGACAAACCAAAAGATCAATTAGGACCCGCGTAAAAGAACATATAGCTGATGTGAAGCATCAACGTTCCGGGAAGTCTGCAGTTTGTGATCATATCCTAGACGGCCCCAACCATTACATCAGATTTGATAGACCACAAATCCTCGCGAAAGAACACCGATTCCTACCAAGGATGATACGTGAGGCTATTGAAATTAAAAAACATCCTAATTTCAATAGAGAAGGAGGCTGGGTACTACCACCTGCTTGGGATCCTATAATCAATAAAATTAAAACTAAACCCAAGCATACCACTGCAAGACCTCAGGACATAGTCAGTTCATTTTGCATAGATCGGACCATAAACAATAATTAAAAAAGCTGAAGGTACTCCGGGTTTAACAATGACATCGGGACGTCAGTCATCTCAGTCCCCCGTGACCATGGGTGCTGGAAAGCGCCCGAAACGTCGGGAATTAAAAATAAAAATAAAAAGTAAAAATAAACGCGATAAAATCCGTAAAAGTAGTTTTAATAATTACAACTTATATTTAGAGACTACTGTTCTGTGAAGAAGTTTAGCATTATAAAATCTATACAAAATTCTCTATCTTGTGGTCTAAACAAAAGTCAGGTTTTATTTCATTACAAAAAGATTTTATTGAATTTTGATAACAAAAAAAAAACATACCAAGCGAATGTCGGCAGCGTGAAAATCACAATTATTTCAATATATATTACTCGAAATTATTTACGTAAAAAGATAAATTATATTCACACAAAAACATTCGTTACAATTTTATAATAAAACACTATACTAAAACACTAATAAAACACTAGAAAAATCCAAAAATCAACACAATAACATTCACGCGAAAATGGCACACGAAATAAAAGAATCAAAATGCAGATGTGTTTTTATTCCTGAAGACTGAGATGGAATGCCTCATTTCCAGTAAAAAGGTTCTCCAGTTCTCTACACTCACCATACGAAGCACAGCACCATTGAGTTGCTATTTTACGCTGGTATTCTGTGAGAACGTGGTCCGACCCCGGTTGAACCGACCCATTCGTGCTACAAGCGTAATATAGTTGCAGCGTGACTTTATGTTATACAATTAGCTTTTAAATTTAAATTTTTACTTATTTTGAAATATTTCAACGTGCTTCAATGTCCTGAATACCCGTTATCGTGGGCTATCTTTAGCTTTAAATATACAGAATAGGTACATTATCTTAAAATCTTGCAACCTATGGCAATGCTTTTTTTATTTCATATTATAATGCATAGCAATCCAAACAAAAATAGGCCCCAGTCTTCTTTTAGATCATTGAAATTAGGATGCTTATTTTATTAATTTCATTAGCTGTTTTAATTTTAAAAGTTTGGATGTGTGTGTGAAATATTTCTATTAAAAAACCTACCGTACTTTACATTACACGTAATTTAATGTATGTTCACACAAACAAAGGTATATTTAGTAAAAAAAGTAATCTACACTCTGTAAACTTCTAGGAATAAACAGATGCTAGTGTTACTAGTTTCTCGTCTCAATTCATTTTTGGGGCAAAAAAAAGTCTCACAAAATATACAAGGTCTCTATTTTACCAAGCTTAAATATTTAATTATACAAAAACTTTTTATTTAATTTAACAAATTTTGGTTTTTATAATATAAATAAATACATGTTTGATAATAACTCCTAGGAATGAGGTGCGCTTCCAAGCTGTTTCTAAAATAAATTGTGTAATCATTCACATTGTAAAATTTATTTAAAAAAATTCCAGCTGGGTTTCTTGCTGGTGCTTCCCAGGACGGAGGTTTTTTCCGAATCAATCGTAAAGTAAATAATGACTCAATTATATTCTATTCTATTCCATATGAATTCGGACTAAAATAACCGAATAATACGATTTTATTTTTATTTTGATCACTGATAATTACTTTTGCAGAATATAAATAGTATCTATGAATTATTTATTTACAAAGTTAAAGAATAATAAATCCTACCTATTCAGTAAAACACGAAAAAGAGATAAAAATCCAAGGATAATACCTGATAACTGTTATCTATGCAAAGTTTCTAATAACAGGAAGCCCGTGTGAATAATCGTTTCTTAGGGTCGTCTTATTCATATTATGTTATAATGAAAACTATTAACTCTATAAAAAAACCGGCCAAGAGCGGTCGGGCCACGCTCAGTGTAGGGTTCCGTAGTTTCCCGTCCGTCACAATAAGTGTTCCCACTTATGAGTTTAAAGGTGGGTATCCGGTGGTAGTGGGTACTGTTCTTTCCATCCAAGTTCAAAATGATTTTCCTAGAAAGTCCTTATAAAGTTCTACTTTTCAGATTTTTTTCATATTTTCTAAACTTATAGGTCAAAAGTTAGAGGGGGGGGACATTGTTTTTTACTTTTTTTAGCGATTATTTCCGAAATTATTGACATTATCAAAAAATGATTTTAGTAAACCCCTATTCATTTTTAAATACCTTTCCAACAATATATCACACGTTAGGGTTGAAATTAAAAAAAAAATCACTTCCCACTTTACATATAGGGGGGGGCTACCCTAATATAAAAAAATTTTATTTTACCACTTTGTCGGCGTGATTGATACACATATTGGAACCAAATTTCAGCTTTCTAGTGCTAACGGTCACAGACATTAAGCGAGGACGGACAGACGGACAGACAGACATGGCGAAACTATAAGGGTTCCTAGTTGACTACGGAACCCTAAAAATCGATTGCTGTCCGTTAGTCTCCCAAAAACACGAAAATGGCTGAACCGATTTTGATGAAAATTTTGTGTGTGAGTGGGTCCTTGGATGGTTTAGATTCAAAATTGGATCGGTAGGTGGCGCTGTTGTCGAGATCCAGAAACCACCCGTGCGAAGCCGAGACAAGTCACTTGTTTTTTTTAAACTTTACCTCCACTCTAGGATTTTCTCCAGTATCGTGTTCGTGGGGACAGTTTACATACATAAATTTTATAAGGACGAACATTCAGACCCAGAACAGTTATTTATAGGCCGTACAAACACTTGATCCATGCGCGATTTGAACCCGCGGCTTTTAGCGCTGGAACTCATTGCTAAGCCACTGCGCCACGTCTAATAGACAATATAAAGCAGGATTATTTTTAATAGAGATTGAAATCATTTCCGGACGAGATCATTTTCTTGACGACCTGATAAGACATAGCTCAGGATCGTGCTTCGCGTGTAAAGTGGATTTCATTAGACGCTTATGTTTATCTGTGGACTTGTGTGGGCTGTAATGATGATGATAATGTTTTGTGTGTGCGTTTTTCTGTAATAGCTCTGTGCAATAATGATCGGTTTACATTGTCTCAATCTTAGGAGTATGATATGGAATAGTACTTTAGTTGAAACATGTAAACAGTAGCTTTTAGTGATTAGTACTAATCGCTTTAGTACGATTCTAAGTATAATTCTGACTTTTCTACAAAAATGAATAATAGCTATTTTTTTTTTGGTATCAAGCACTTGCATACATCCATAATAGAATTATAATGGTAAATCTATTTCTTATCTGCTTAACATTGTTTTCTATTGAATGTAAGCCAATATAGTTAAGATAAGGTAGAGAATGTAGTTAGCACCTTGACCCAAATGGAAAGTAGGTGGTAGCCAGGTAGGCGAACGATAAAGAGAAACATGATGCATTTTTCATCTTACATTAAATGATTTATATATTAAATCCGCTAAATCCTTGTATTTTAGTAGCGACTGCTATTTTGGGGCAATAATTAAAAAAATATAAATTTTTACAAAAGAAAAATGTTGCAGTTTATGTGTTGTATAATATTGTCTTTCGAGACGATTTAAAATTGCGAGGAAACCTGAATATTCCATAATAATGTTATTCAAAAAGTTCACTAAGATTAAAAATGTATATTTATAATCCTGTTTCTTTGTTTACCTTTTTACTTATCTCATAATTACATACATTATCTAGGTGCGTCGCGTGGAAAGGACTCTTATCCAAAATAAAATTACCTCGCCTGTGTACACGTAAAACCCGCAAATGGATTTATCATGTGATTTTTTTTCTTTTTGTCAATCTGAATCATTTTCTAGCACATATCTTTTGTTGTTGGCTGTAAATGATTTCAGATGCATGTTATGTGGACGAAGAGTGCGTTCTTACAATAACTTCAGCATACTTTTGGAGTCACTTGAAATAGTAGCTTTCGTCTTTTTGTTTTTGATGGTGTGAGTTTAGCACATAATCGAACTCGTTCAATAATTTAGAATGTGTTAATAATACAATTTATTCTTAATCTATATTAAGCGAAGATTTTAATTCTTCATACCTAAAAAAGGCTGAAAAGATTTACGTGTAAGGTTAGCTAATTATTTGCAAAGCTCAGCTCTTTCAAAGTTATATATCTATTATTATTTATTTTTATTTAAATGAGGTTTCTTTCCCTTTCCCCTCTGCCGTTTAGTCTCTCTTCTCCGAGGGCTTCAATCTGGTTGGGTTTTTATTTATTTATGTACTTATTGTTGATTTATTTATGTTACTATATTTATTCAGCCCAACCAGATGGGAATACTCTTTATATAGCCCATAATAACAATAATCTCTATTTGCAAGAATATGGTTGTACAATGGTGTTCAAGTATAATTAGTTCTACATAATATACTAACTTAGTAGTGTGCAAATATCAAAATGGTCAAGTAACTTATATAACAACTAGCTTGCCAGGCAGACGTTTTGCCCTTTTCGACGACAATTTGTCATGTCCTATTAAAAATCCTTAAATTCGCAAAAAAAATGTGGGTCACTCACGGGCAAAAAAACTATCTGTATCTCTCAAGTTGGACCAAACTGCACACGGTGTGCAAATTTGATTAAAATCGGTTAAGTAGTTTAGGAGTACAGGGTGTTAGTGTAAACACCGTTATCCTTGAAACCAGTGGTTTGATTTCACTTATTGAACGTAAATTCAATGAAAAATAACAACATTTTTTTTAGTAAACTCTCAATTTTTCCTTAATTCCTCAATTTTTTCCTGTCCTAAGCCAGGATGAAAGTATGAAGGAAAAGTTACATCACAGATTATGTGTACCTATTGTGTTTTTATTAGAATGTCATTTAGGTAGCTAGGACGGGCGGTGATCTTTACAGTGATTACGTCACTCGGGCGCATAGGTTATACAGGGACGGTGTCATAGAAATTTTTAAATTATATTAAAAAAAATAGAGTTCTTTTTTTTTAAATTTGGATAAATATTTTTATATTAAAGCCAACTACCTATGGTTTTAGTGATAACGGTGTTTACAATTACACCCTGTATATTAAGAAGATATTTATCGATTTTTTAACATTATTCAATTGTCTTGATAATGAAAGGTGCTGACAGACAAATACTTACAGCGTCGAGTTCGTTGAGCGCCCTCACGGCTCGCTTCGGGGCGCGGATTTCAGCCGCAGTCTGCTTGGTGCGCCTCAGCTCCGACGTCCAGACGCTGAGGGGTTCCCGGTCGGCGAGCGTGTTGATGTGCTCGGCGAGCGCGCGCGCGTACAACTGCCCGCGGGCCGACAATGGCGCGTCGCCACCGATACGACCGAGCACGTTGTATTCGCTTTCACCATGCTATTAGGAGACCAATTATTGATTGACAGGTTCTTTTGTTTCTTATAGGAGTTTGAAGGCTATTGTGCTAGACATTATCATATATATATATATATATATATAAAACTCTTCTATCCGTGTGTATGTGGCAGAACTCTTCCTAAATGGCTGTACCGGATTTTGATGAAATTTTTCGAGAATGGTTTAGATTCACATTTGACCCCGTTAGTGGCGCTGTTGTTGAGATCTAGAAATCACCCGTGCGAAGCCGGGGCGGATCGCTAGTATGTATATATACTAAATACAATGATTACTCAATCAGAGGATCCCAGTCGAAGCAGAGTTGGTAGTGCTTTATTGTTCATTTTTTGTATCTAATCATAGACGAGAGAATGTGTCTGTGTTATCGCGTGCACTTTTTTATAAGGCTGACAAAGAAGCACACAGGTTGACTGTGTGCTTGTTTGTTTTAGTTGTTGGATAGTGAGTGGATGGTGTTAAATACATGTATCATTTTAAACTATGAAACAATTTGATATGTAATAGGAGAACGAAGTCGAAGCCTAGAGCATAGATATTTTTCAAATATAATGTTTTTCTTTCCATTGGCCTTTTATCAAACTGTCAATAAATACTTCTAATTTAATCAATCGGTCGAAGGTCAAGGGAGTTACAAATTCATTGATAATAAGGTTGCACGTGATTTTAATTTCGTTATTTCAAAACACATTAAAAAGTCTTCTTTTAAAAAAATTTTTTCCATGGGATTCTACTTTGTTCGCCTAACACACTTTTTTTTCCTAAAATTAGACGCAATGGTTGTGTTTTCCCATCGTGTTTATAGTTTCGACAACTACACAAGCATAGAGCCAAAGATGGTAAGACCAAAAACTTTATGGCATAGCAAAGTTTCACTTGTTAACACATTCGTGCTTGTAAATACGCGTTAAATATTTGTTCGCGACTTCATTTTATCAAATAGTAGAAGTTGTTATACCATGATAGAGGATGAATAAGAAACTACCTTTTGGTTTATTGCTAAGAGGCTGATTTAAAAGTAAAGTGGTTTATATTTTCTTGGAACCTAAGCAAAAGACATCTGCTTTAGTTGTTATACTTCAGATTTCCATGAATCTCTATAGCAATTGACTTAATAGACGCACACACGCACGCACACACACACCGGTAAAAAAACTTAAATCCTTTTTTTAATTTCTTATTATAATTTCTATTTTATATTTGACAATGTTTTGAATACCTCCTTTCTACCTAGAGTGGTCCTATCCCGGTCGAGCTAACCGATTCGTGCTACAACCTAAATGTATACGCACCGTATTCAAGATATGTATATTTTCCACGATGTTTATTCAATGCTATTCTAAGCATGTTTACGATTGTTTACATATTTCCATAACATGACGGAATGAAAGTTATATCTCGTGAAAAACATGTTTATCAATAATTAAAATAAACAGAAAATCTATGTGTCCGATTGACGCTATAATGTTAACTGATAATGTTTAGATTGAATATTACTCACCCGAGAGAAATATAGTGTCTGTGGTAAGGCTCTCGTTCCTGACAAATACCCGAGTATCCCGGATTCCTTCTGTCCGGCTACTTTGTGCGCTGTGACGGTCTCACCCATGTTCTCCACTCGAACGAAGCTGATGGACTCCAAGTTACTATCGATGGGTTCGTACTGACGCATGTAGTGCTCTAATTTCTTTCTCAGATCGTCTACCGCTTCTTCCTCAGTCATAGCTTTGTAGTCCGCGGAATAGTGAAGGATCTCAATAATATTCCTCTCCAACAGTTCCTGATCCTCACAAACGCACTCAATGAACAGAATCCTGAAACCCATATCGGACAGGCAATACTCATTTAGCTCGCGACGTTGCTCCCGTGTGATATTTGTCCCATCGAAAATCTGGAAGGAAATTACTAAAGTTTTCACAAAACATTAGATGAACTAGAATTATTTTCGGATCTTTTCCTGTATCTCTGGATGTTTTCTAAATCATAAACAAGTGTAAGAGGCCACGTCAATATCTCATATATCATATATATCTCATTAGATAAATACATTGCATTTATCCTTATTTAAAGTATTTCTAAGAAATGTTATCATGTATTTATTTCAAATGCAAATTTCTCTTTCATTTCATCATTTTTATAATTGGATATAACTTTTGTTATTTTAATTGCCTGTAAAATTCCACTGGTTGTCACGGACCCATCCCTTTTTAGTTTTTAGGGAGGACGTGTCTGAATTCTCACATTTGGCAGACGGATCGACGATCGCACAACCAAACATCTCGCACTTTTGACACTTCTAGCTGTCGCCAGTCTACGTATTTTCTTATCTTATATACCTATCGTCATTATAGCCAATGCAATAGCCATTCGAAGTTCCAGTTTGTTTTCAACTGACTTCAAAAAAAAAAAAAGATTTCTCCATTCAACTGTATTTTTTTAATGTGTTACCTCAGAACTTTTATCTAGGTGAACCGAGTTTGATGACACTTATTTCAAAGCTGGTGTTTCTCATGTTCATTAGTTATCCTTAATAAAGCGTATTTAATTGACTTCGACTATATTGATCATGTTCTCATTTTATTTATATTGAAGTCGGCTGTAGATTTTTTTAATTTTACCGTTTTTACCACATAGTCCAAATTAAAGGGCTTCTGCAGTTCATGGTTGATTGCAGCTAACTTTAAACTTCTTCATTCGTACTTTGTTCTTTTTTGCCTACAAATGTGTTGTCACCTCTAAATACTAAGATGGAATGCCTTACAGCCTGTAATTATAATGGCTCTTGATACATTTTATACCGAAACAAAGTAGTGCCAGCCCTAATATTTGGCGGCTGTAATAGGTGAGTGAGACAACCCTACTCAACCGAACTTCTATTATATATACAGAGCCGACAAAGATGTTCTCGACGCACGACTTCTTTTTTTGGCTCATATCATATAGTTTGCGCGTTACACAATTAACATAAGACTCATTTTACTATGTACAATTTCGTTACAAAAATTCGCTTCCATTCCGTTCCGCAGCAGTGTAAATTGAGCCTTATGGCTTACTTCCACTAAGTGTATTTTACGAATTTTAAAATAAGTTTTATGTGGTTGAGAAATAAGTTACTTACGTATATGTAATTGTATTTATTAAAAATCTTTAATAAACAGCAGGATACTCAAACATTTTAAAAAACTTACAGCAACGCTATTGCCGTCCTTGAGCCACATGACAGCATCCTGGACAGCCTCGCGCGCACTCTGACGACGGATAGCGGAACCCTGCTGGTTATCCGCGCGGAAGATGTCATGGCTACCATAAAGTGCCATGTGCTTGCGACGATACTCGCTGCAATCAAAGACTAAAACAAACGAAATAATTAGCTTGTTATGGTCGCCTAGTAAGCTCGATCGTGTTTGACCTGTTTTGACAATAATTATGATGATTATAACAGCCCATCACATATCCACTGCTGAACATAAAGTTACAGCCTATATACGTCACAATCCTCTCATTCCTGAAAGGGTTTAGGGCAAGGAAGTGTCTCCCGCGCTGCCCCAATGCGTATTGGTGAACTTTGCATGTCTTCGATATATATATTTGTTTCTTATTTCTCAGACATGCAGGTTTCCTCACGATGTTTTCCTTTACCGCCGTGAATTTCATTGGTGCCGGCGGAGATCGAACCCGGGTTTGCTCGCGTTCTGTGAAATTTAGACCGAGCGCTAACAATCTGAGCTACCATGGCTCCACTGCTGAACATAAGCCTCTGATAAGAAATACCAAACACAGTTCTGAGCCACCTGCATCCATTGACTTCCGGCATCTCTTAACAGGTTGTCACTCCATCTATTGTGGGGCCGCTTCACATCATGCGGATGACAATATGATCATTATGACAGTATTTTGACTAAAAGCCTCGTGATGAAAATTTAGCAGTATTTTTTTTTATAACTTCATTCTCAAACCCTCTTAAAAAAGAAAGGAGGCCTATGCCCAGCGGTAGGACGAAGGTTGTAACTTTACTTTATAACAGTATTCTAAACGTTGATTTATATAATATCTCACTAGAGAGATGATAAGCAAATATGAAGAATATAATACTATACAAAACAATAAACATCTAGGGTTCCTTAAAATTACTATTTTTATGAACCATGACGATCTAGTAAAATAATTAAATGTAATAAAGTATATGATAAAAAATATAAAGAATAAAGAAATATCAATAGATTTATATCGTGATATCATATACTATACCATGATGTTTCACTAATATTATGACAGCAAACCCAAATAAAAACTTATTTGGGGGTGTTTAACATTATAAGTTTATAAGGGGTTTAAACTGATCTATGGGTGGATCAACTTTTTTACTCACACTTAGGTGTCCCTAGCAGATTTTTTTACTTCATGACCCAATCAAAAGTTTTTTATAGGCTAATGGTCTTCTAAACACATAAAAAATAATCAGGCATCATTAAAAAATTCTAAAGTTACTGAAAATTAACAATTTGTTTTGATTTTTAGGGTAACTCAGTATACCAAAAAGAGCTCCCATACAAAAAGTCCTTGTCCCCAGACCACAGTCTCTCATAATTCCAGTTGAAATAATTTTTTTCTATTAAACCCTGACTTGAAATTAATTTTACAAAGAGACAAAACAATAAACTTTATAATTATTAACCACTGATATTAAATAAAGTGTTTGAAGAAAAAAATTATTTAGGACTGTCCCTCAATAAATACCTTTTGCACGTGTATGCTGAGTTATCTCCATGCGTTAATAGAACGCCTAGATTGTATGTCTTACTGTTGCTAACTTCACTTAAGTCGTATGCGGTAACAACGGCGGGCGAAACTTTGATGAGTGCCGACAAGTAAATCGGTCTGCCTCGAACGCTCACAGGGAGTACGCGTACATTTTTGTGCCGTCAACTGAGTTACCAGATTTTCTCGTAAAATGTAAGTAGTAACCTATTAATAATAACATTATATAGTACTAGCTGTGGTTATCGACTAAATCATATGTCACTTATTTTTTTATACTTATAATAAAATTTATTTTTGATCAAAGTACTTGAATTGTCTCTTCAGTTACCAGTATACTGAGTTACTTTGAAGGTAACTCCATAGACATCGTCAGTAACTTCAGAGACATTCGCGTGCTGTTGAACACATTGTGGCGTTAAACTTAAATCAATACCTCTTTTTATATATGATTCTTGTATTATTATTTCATTTTCAATATGTACTTCTCCTATTTCATTAGCACATTGTTTTCAATGGCAATTATTCTCACTTAAATGTTAAGTATAAGTGCAAAAGTGAGTGTTTGTTGGTAACAACCTATTAACACAAAAACTACTGATGTATTTGGATTAAATTCGACACACAGTATATCTTGACCTAGATAAGGTTATGAGATACATTTATTTCGGTAAAAAGTCGAAAGCGGAAGCTAGTTTTTTCTAATTTACATGTCTTATTTTTTATATTACATTGAATAATTTCTTATAAACTGAAACATAAAAACTATATTTCTTCCTTCATTAGATCTGCAATGGCAGGTTTGACAGCAGCAGAAAAACAAAAGCGATTTCGAGATAGGCTTAAAAAATCCTGAAAAATATGAAGAAAACAAAACAAAAAAAACATAGAGAGCACTACCACAAAGTGAAAAGATTAGCAAAAGATTTGTCGCCGAAAGAAAGAAAACAAGCTAATTTGATTTGGAAACTAAGGCAAAGGGAATATAGGAAAATAAGAAAGAATTTACAAAGTATTATAGATGTGACACCGCCAAGTTCTCCATTACCTAGAGTACAAGATATTCAAGCAGTGCACCAACCACCACCCGCATCACCGGTTTCAAATCCGTCTAGAGAGCGAGAACGAAAAAAAGTGAAGAAACATAAATCTAAAGTATATAGAGCAAACAAAAAATTGGAAGAGGAAAATAAAAAGTTGAAGAGATTGTGTGAAAAATATAAAAAAACTAATGCGAAATAAACAAAAAGAAGTGAAAAATAACGAGAAACCAGAAGACAAGCATAATCTTTTGACCAAGTCTATTAAAGATCGCTACAAGAAGATAAGGAGTCTCAGCGAGAAAAGACTGTTTAAAAGCATTTTCAATACTGGCTTTATTGAAAGATCTAGAAAGAAGGCAGAATTGCTTAAAGAAACACTCGGAATACACAGAGAGTATCGTAAAAAACCAAAGACCAATCGTAGCATACTACAGCTAATGAAAAAAATTCACCAATTTTTCGTACGCGACGATGTGTCTAGAGCTACAGCTGGAAAAAAAGAAACAGTGACAAGAAATGGAAATAAAATGCAGAGAAAATACTTCAGTAAGTATTTTCTATGAAACAGGATTCTAGGATACAATGAAAAAACTTCGTCATTGCTCCTTCCATTGATGCCAGGGAAACCTGTATGTGTAAAATGCACGCAAACATCTCGTACAAGGCTCAGGCGTTGACAAAACAAGGTCTACTAAAAACAAACAAGTCATTATTCGAAAGACAGTACGCAACGATCGGTTAAAGGATTGTATGTACAATAGTGTAAAAAATGCAAAAAAATTGATGGCACTATAAAATACAGTGAATGGGTGAGGAAAGAAGTCAAGTTCGAGAAAGACGGTAAAATAATAAAAGCAATCAAGAATGGAAAAGAGGAAAAAATTGCAGAAGTTGCACATCTAAGGCAAAAATTTGAGAATGATATTAGTTCTTTCAAAAAGCATATATCAAAATCTTCGCAGTTTCAAAACTTTCGCGAGTGTTTGAGTAAATTGCAACCCAATGAGTGCGCTATTGTAGTCGACTTTAGTGAAAATTATAATTGTAAATGTCACGAAGAGGTACAATCTCATCATTTCGGAGGGTCCAGAAACCAAATAACACTACATACCTACTGTAATGGTTTACATTTAAAACCACGAAAAACAACATGCACTAATTCCTTCTGCTCCGTTTCTGCCTCAAGTTGTCCTCAGCCAGCATGCAGCTGTCTGGAGCCACTTACAGCCGATTTTAGAATGGGTAAGAAATTCACATGAAGCTGTTGAAACTATTTATTTCTTTTCAGACGACCATCGACTCAATATTATCAAGTATTTACAGATAAAAGAAAAATATTAAAATATAGAGCTTTCCTGCTTTTGTAAATTTACAAAGAGAGGTTTTTGCATCTGTCTGAACACCAAAACGTACCAAGTGAATAGTAATGCTGCTAAGCAGTTAAATCTAGACCCTATTAAGCAAATCCACCTTCAAATCCTCGTTCAAATCCTCGAACCAAAAAGACACGATATTCAAGATCCATCAGATGAAGATGTCCCTCTTGCCGTGTTCAAGCAAATCCAAAATATACCATCCCAACGAAGTATTTACCGAGCTGTCCATGGATCTTCATCTGATAGTGACGACGAGTCACAAATTGATAAGGAAAATCGTAAATCGATGGATGTAGATAATAAATTTCGTTTTCAAAACTTTCATGTAGAGGAGAACCAAGTGGCTTTCACTAGTTCGACAAAATTTCTCAACAGGTATCAATTGGTGATTTTTTCCATGTTTATGTTTATCGCAGTAACAAAAAAAGAACATTTATTCTTACGTTTGCAAGGCTCTGTCCTTTATAGAAGAAGACGGTGAAATTAAAGTTATGTTTTTACGGGTAGTTAGTAATGATGCGAAGAAGTTTAGAGTAGACAAAAAGGATATCAGCTACGTAAATTATGAAGATGTTACTAGCATCTTGCCGGTACCAAGTCTTCTGGAAAAAGATATGTATAAATTTACTGATTCCATTGATATATTTGAAAAATAACTACTGTCGCAATTTGATCTCAAGATTGTAAATATGACGACGTTGATTATTAATAGTAGAATATTTGTCCGAAATGTGATATTATTTTGTTTCTTATTTGTAAATTAAGCTTTAAATTTATTGTATTAGTGTGATTGTTACTTATTTCAAAGTCATTATGTTTAAAGGCAGGTAATTTTTTTAAATATTAAAAAAATAGGTTCGCTGATTTTATGTCTTAGGCGTTACGAAGTTTGTCTCTGAAGTTACTTTTTGTCCCTAATTTTAAATTTTCGTTTTTAAACGTGGTGATCTTTCTGCCTAAATCAGAATCTATATTTTTATATAACAATATGCTACAGATAATAGGGCATCTGTAGGATAGGTTTTTTGCTTTTAACTAGTTATTTATTTAGTTTTAATGAAAATTTTCGTGTTTATTTTTTATGTTGGTAACGCAAGATACAATTTATTGTTTACTTTTAATATAAAAACTCAACAATTGTTAAAACTGACTTTATTACAGCAATTAATTTTGTGTGAAAAACTAAATAAAAACTACGTATCATATATATATTTTTTTTTTTTGTTTTATTCAGACTATATTGATCATTATATAAAGGTTACGCAGTAGACAATTTTTAGGGTGTGCTTATACATTTTCGCAAATTGCGGCCAAAATAATAAATCAACTTCGTGCCTCTTTGAAATATACAAAATAGTTGATATTTCGAAGACACTTTTCGTGTCGGAATGCACATATTAAATATTTTTTTCTTTTTTTAAAATATTTTGCCTGAGCTCTCCAAAATGTGGGTCGAATAGTTGATTGACCGCTATTCAAAAACACTGCACCCCCAAATTCCATTGATTGGTGATGGAGGCTCTCTGCCTTCGATCAATAATATACTAGATTCCCGATGAGCGCTTCAAAAACGGCCAGAAAAATAAAACTACAAACACTTCTGTGGTCTTATTTCAAATTAGTATAGTCAAAGCATAGCCAACGTTAAAACGTCGAAATGCCGCAGTGCGCGCGTTCAAAAACTGTGCAAATAACCACCGTAACACCAAGAATTTAGAAGGAATATCTTTTTTTCGGTAAGTTTATATCATTAAGTGTTTTTCATAAAATAAAAACAGAATTACATAGCAAAAATTATTCAATTGATCGAAGTTGTCTGCGCTCACCAATCTGTTGCACCAGTATGTTATCTTAAAAAAATTCTATTCAGCAGTAATTTAAAAGACGAATTATAAGCGTCTACAACTAACTACAATTAAATAAAATTAAAAATTTTAAGCCTTTTGACCAAGAACTCGAAATTACAGTATAGTTTAAAAACATTTATGGTGACTGGTGTAGATCGAAATAGCTCTATGAACAAGTATTTTTACTTGACTTGAGTTTTATTACAAATAGGTACCCAAATATTTAAAAAAAAAATTGAAAAGATCTAAATATCTTACGGGTGTTCACAAAAGTCTATTGTTCTAATTTAACTAGATTTACAATCATGACACTCATTAGTAAATTCAATTTATTTATATTTATTAATGTTAACACAGAGTAATAATAATGCTGATAGTCTCTAAACCTGATTATTGTTCCCAAATAATTATTTTATAATTTTGTTTACCTACATCATTAAAATAAGTACAATGAACTCGTGCAAGTACCATTTAATTGAACTTTATAACAATACCCACACGTCACAATTTTTATAAAACAGCCCATAATAAGAATAACTGTTATAAAACACTACAAAATATAGTAGACATTGTTATTCTCTTTATTAATCAGCGCCTTGATAATTGCAGAATAAAAAAGAATAATTGCAGGTCACGGGGTCGTAAGTTAAAGTGACAATCACACAAGTAAATCCCATGAGTGTTGCATGCGCTAGAACTTTCAATTAGTTTCTGGTATTGTACGGCAAATGGCTTCCAAATAATAGCAAATTATCTATCTCAGAAATTGCCCCTAAGAATATCCCCTGAAAGGAAACGGAGTTTATGTGATGTGAACTTTGAGAAAAGCATGTGAACAATGTCTTAGTTGCATGAGTGTTCGTTTGGTTTCCAGTGCTTTAACCTTCTAATCCAATTATTTTTTAATTTGTACAAACTTAACGTTGTTGTTGAGTTGTAGTTTATTTTTTCATATCGTCAATTCATATTTAATAGTCTAAACAAATCGACATCAAATAGTATGTAATCACTAATTGACATGATGTGTAAGACCAACTTCTGATTAGAACACAACCTTAACTAGCTCAAGGTACTGTAATGAAATTATTATCATCGGGTGTAGGCAAACGTTGGCTGCGTTTGGCAGAAAAAAGCGCTAGCAAGCGCTTGTAAGCAAAATGGCGATCGTAAGCGGTAAGCGCTGTCAAATCGTAAGTAGCTATTTTCCTCTAGGACACGAAATTAGTTTTAACCGGGGAACCTAACCTAATTTAAATATATGTTTGTAAAGTATTCATATTAAAAACTTACCAATCATGAATTTTTAATAACTTGTATATGTTTATTCATGTCATTATATTACTTAAGACTAATATTGCACAAAACAATTTATAAACTCTACTTCAAAACAAACAAATTAAATAAGCAAAATGGCGGATTGTGTCAGCGCTACTGAAGTTAGCAAACGTGTCCTGGCCGAAAACTGTTTAGTTTCGCCATTTTGCTTACAAGCGCTTGCTAGCGCTTTTTTCTGCCAAACGCACCCATTATGTGTCATGGTTAAAAAATCATTGCAGCGAACTGGTTACTTTTGACTATTTTTGCTCCTTCACTTGAAGCATATCTCTATAATATATACCTAAATAGTTTACTTTTTTTTAAATTTGTTAGATAAAAAGTTATTGGGATTTAGGTAAAAACAAAAACATAAAAAGTAGTAGCAGTTGAGATTGGTGAATTTTAAAATAGGCTAGTGTAACAAAAAATATTTTTTTATTTTTTACATACCTTTAGTGCTCTCTCCATTCCAATTGAGATGCCTAGAGAGACGGTGAGCTAATTGGCTTTTTCCACGCGCAGGCAAACCAACTAAAGCGATAAGCAATGGCGCGAACTGGCTGATGCGGCGCGAGCGAAGCGAAACTGTTGAACAAAAATACACCAATTGTATAAAAAAACAGCAAGTGAAACTAAACTGAATGTCTTGTTAACTGTCATCGTCATCATTTGTCTTAAAAAAAATTTTTTAGGTGGAATAGGAGAAGCATATTATGGTTGAAGCACGAATGGGTCGACTTGACTGGAGTAGGACCACGCTCTCACAGAATACCAGCGTAAAATAGCAGTTTATAGCTGATGTGTTTCGGTGAGTGTAGAGAACCGAAGACCCTTTTTACTGGAAACAAGGCATTCCATCTTAGTCCTCAGGGGTGACAACGCACCTGCATTTTGATTCTTAATTGAGGATAAATGTAGATGTCTATGGGCCACAGCATCCACTTACCATCAGGTGTCCTCTTCACCCTTATTCTATAAAAAAAAGTGTTAGAGCTTATGGGTGGTCATCAAGCAGGAGGCAGGCAAACTTAATTTTTAACCAAAACAATAGGTACCAGGATATCACGAACAGATATTACAAATATATTACCACCGGGTTTCTTGTAAATTCTTCCTTTAGGAAGACTAGAAGACACTTAGAGGTGTTTTCCGAACTAGTAGTTAATAAAATTTAAAAATACTTTCAATTAATATTGTATATTAAAATATTTTCTATACTATTTCTTTAACCCACATACTTCGATGAAATAGTAAGCATTTTAAAAAGCTATGCTTTTCTCAAATATGGCGATGACTATAAATTGTTTTATTTTTGTTGTTTCACTTTCACATTCAGTAGAATAATAAGTACCTATTCATTTTAAATTAAATTATTTGATCTCGGACCTTGACGTCACCAAGCGGTGCAGGTCAAGGTGATGACCGATAAATTATCTATTTCATCTAGTTATAATAACGACATCGCACTGTTTTTGAACTGTTATTTTACTTGTATTACTTACAGAAAATTACAGCTTTAATTAAAACAATACAAGTAAAGACAAGATGGATAATCACTAGACGATAAAAGTTTTCATCTATATTTTATTTATGGATATTATTTTTGTTCATTGGGGGAAGACTTGAGACTGTTAAATTAAATACAATAATATTTACGATAGGTAACTTCTACTATGAAGACCAAATTCGACGATAACAATATATCTTTGATAAAGCAGTTATAATATTATAATCCAATCTGAGATTCTTTCAAATGTGAAATCTAAAGGTTGGAACATACAAGTAATTACCTTATTAAACGGCTAGGCCCGACTTTGTAATTAATGGTTAAAATGTAAGCGCTTGTGTTCTTAAAAGGGCTGATAATAGCTTCAATTGACATTTATACAGTAGTTTATAAATAAACCAACATGGACGTTCGAACACAAACATGAGGTCGACCAATAAAATGGCGGAATAGCGGCACGCCTTCGCGTTCGCTTTGAGCAGCTGCACAGAACAAAATTACTCTCCACAACAGCCGTATGTTTAAGTAATAAGTATGCCAATGCAAACCGATGGACGTCATTCACCTCGATATACCTACCTGAAACGAACGCTAGAAATAGTAGGTACACGTTTACACATCAAATGGTTATAATTTTGCACCCAACTTATTTGATTGATTAGAAAATCATTATTTTCATTTGTATTTTCGAATGTGAACAATGATATTTATGTTAATGTTAATTATTTTGTGTAAAAAATTTATTCGAATACCTTACTCAAAATGTTTCTATCGATATCAAAATTAAGTATCTACCAAGGTCTTTTAAATAAAATATCACTTAAACGAATAAACAAGATATAGGTACCCATTCGCTCTAGGTAGTATTAGTATTTAAGTACTAATACCACTATCAGTCGATAATGATGTGTTGAATGTTGATTATGCGGGTTCAATGTTTTCATCCGAAATAAAATTTTAACAGAATTTTAAAGCGTGTTAAGTTCTGGTATTAGGTATTCCACGATGATATAATTTCTATTATTATTTTATAAGAAATTTCTTCTATTATATTATGTTTAGCCATTACGTGTGATAAAATATTTGTGTTACATAATATACACCGTTAAATATTTGAAACAAATTAACAAATTGATAAATATAATTGACAACTTCAATAAAACCGAGCCGTGTGGTTGCAGCTATCGAAGTAATCCCTATATCGTTATGTGAGGTGACGAGGGAAATGTGAGAAAGCTTCTCAGATCTCACATGAACCATAAATATTCATATCCATCTTGAGGCGGAGATTAACGTTAAAGGTGCACGACGCGCTGCGATCATTGTATTCTATGTACATTGTACATGCATTCTAAAATGTTTTATTATTTTAGAAAGGTCCCCAATTTTTTTTAAATTAAAAGTAAAGCTAATGCTATGGCTACAGAATAAATAGCAGCTGTACTTACCAGCTAGGACTAGGATTATAAAACAAGTTTCGACAACAGGAGTATCAGTGGGCGCAGTGAGTGCCGGTGCCAGTAAATTAGGGCTGCTAGATTGTTAATTTGATACAAATTGTATACAATTAGAAAGTTTGGGGTTTCTTTAAAAGCTTAAAATAGAAAACTTTTAAAACAGTACCTATCGGAGACTATTTGGCATAGCTGATTAATAATTGGTAAAAATACACAGTTACTACCTAAAAACAGAAATATAAGACCTACTGGTTAAAAATTCGAAGCAAAATGGAATATAATTTTTTTTGACCTTATCATGCGAGGTATTACTACATAGTTTTTGAAGCATGGTAGATTTTTGATCCTATAGGTACTCCAAAATTATTGCTGAGAAAATTCAAGTTACAATCTAATTTAGTTTTTTATCAATCGTTTGGGAACTCATTTCAAAATTGATGTGCGTGTTGCTCTTTTACAAAAATTAAAAAAAAAAACATAAATATTGAAAATAGGTAAATAATGAATAATGAAACAATTTCTTTAAGATTAAAAAATTCAAGAAAGAATGCAATTAACAAAACGACGAATAATTTGATGTTAACGGTCTCGTTGCGGCATTGTTATAAGCTATTTTTCATTCGTATATTGTTTGAACTCATTGGAGAATACAAAAATATTTAATGATAGCCCTGTAGTAGATTAGATTGGACTTTGGACTTGCGAGAAAACTACTTCGCTCAACAGTTGGAATTCAACCGCGCCAAGTGATACGAGGTCGGCTATATAGGGCGGGCAATTTAGTTGCATAATAGCATAAACATGGATGCCAATTAATTTATGATCTTAAGCTTCGCGCACTCCCAATAACTATTAAATGTCATCTTCAACTGCTTGTTAGATCTCTAGATATGTAATAGCGTTGTGCAAAGGTTGTACACCATTTGGAAATTCAGCGGAGCTGTAAATTGGAGACTTATCTCTGGTTGTAGAATGACCGATTGTTAGGTTTGTTTAACTGCTAAATACTGATTTTCCATACATGATGTTTATTATTCATAGTTGACCTACGTTCACTTGAACCTCGAGGTATAGCCACTCAAACTTACGAGTACCTACCTATCTCTGGTTGTAGATTGACCGATCGTTAGGTTTGTTTAACTGCTAAATACTGACATACATTATGTTTATTATCCAGGTCTTATAACCTACGATAGTTCACTTGAACCTCGAGGCATAGTGACTAAACCGTTTTCCTTCACGTTATATCTTGGGCTTTCTGTCTGATACTTTTTACTATCAATACACAACTGTTTTACGGTTGTTCTTTCACAGATTTCTAACATGTCATGCTATTATTATTTTCATCAGAATGATTCGGAATTTAGCGTAAGTATAAGAATTTGTAGAATTTGTAGAACAAGCATTAGCATGTTACATTATTTGTGAATCGAATTAACGAAACCAGAGTATGAGAAAATTTTACTAAAACAAACTACCTAATTGACTCGCAAACTTATTATTAAGACGTAATCGAAGTACCCCATGATATTATTAATGGTGTTACCACAACTAACAGCTTACTATATTAAACACAATCACATTGCACACATACTCTGGTTCTACTGCGAATATCGAAGTTAATCACGCAGAGAAACTCCAAGCGTAGCCCATATCTCGCTGAGCGACTTTGAGCGGCCGGCTGTGAAGGACCACGTCTCAGATCCATAAATTTATGATTCATATTTCAACATAATCATTCTTATGAACTATAAGTTTAATTAAAAGTTAAATTAAAAGTTAAGAGGATTCACATGTACACTTGGGAAAGAGGTGATGATAGAAGCATGATAGATTTCATAATTGTGGATGAAAGATTGAGGGGCGCAGTGGTGGATACAAGGGTTTACCGGGGGGTCAAACGTAGGAACGGATCATTTTTTGGTTTTATGCCGAATTAATGGTCTATTCAGGCGGTGGCGCCATCGGTCATCCGTGTCTACCACTGCGTTACAGCGTATTAGAACAGAAAGATTACAAGATGAAGGTGAGAAAAACAAGTTTAAATGTAGACTGAAAGAAAACGTAAGTGGTTTGGATGAATTATGTATGAATGAGTTAGACTTGGAGAATGTATGGCAAAATGTTCAGAAAGGTTTAGTAGATGCAGCTACCGAAGTATGTGGTGTTAGTAAAAGAAAGAATGAAAGGAAAAATAATACGTTATGGTGGGATGATGAGATACGTACGGAAGTTGAAGCAAAGAAGAGAGCATGGCTAGATTTACTAGCAACTAAGGCTGGTAATTCAAGCGGTACGAATGATGATTTTGAAAGAAAAAAGGCAGTCTTTAGACATCTAAATAAAAGAGTAAAAGAAGTAGTTGAAAGGAAAAAGCAAGAAAGAACGGATAAGAATGATAGAAGAATATCGGATAACTTCCAGGCAAATATTAAAATGTTCTGGAAACTCGTAAGAACTGCCAGGGGATGTTCAAAACAGCCTATAATGAATGCTATAAGAGATGAAAATGGCTATATTCTGAATGATGAAGTTTTGAGTTTAAAGAGATGGAAGGAATATTTTGAAAGCATGTTTATGAGTGAGGAGACAACGTATGAACTGAATGAAATAGGAACTCC